TTAGATGTTCCAAATTTCTTAAGTTCTCATAAATAACAAAGATTAAATATATTTAAAGTGAGTAAGATGATGATGATTGTGTGATTGGAATAAGAGGATTATTTTTATTTTTAAATAAAATTGTGTATAGTTTTCTAGAAATTATTTTTATTTACTTTAACTTATTAATTTCAAATATTTATACATCGACAAGAAACTTGAAATAAAAACAAGAAATATGCATAACTATTAAATAAATAGTGCATCTATAATGCATTATTGCTGCATGTTAAAATCACAATTATTTGCTGAAGTTAAGTTTTTATTGAAAATCTAATACTACGTATGAATTATCCTTTCATATTGAGTTCATATCGATTATAAATTAAAAATAAAGTTATGTATGAAAGCAATATTCAGAGCTTATCTCAAACATAAAGATATTAAATAAAATAAACAAATGGAAGAAAGCCGTCACACAGCATCAAAAAAAATTAAAAAATAAATAATAAATAAAAAAAAATGAAATATAAAAAAATTAAAAATCAAAAGTAGAGAGAAAAAAATTTTAAATTACAATATATAGAATAAAAACAAATCTGTTTTTTTTAATTTGAGTACTGTACTGAAATTACTGATTTTTGACGTCAATTTTAATAAAAAAAACTAAATTCTTAATATAAACTATTGTTTTCAATAGAGAAATTTTCATCGAACAGTAGTAAATTACAACAACAAAAAATTTTTAATTATTTTGGATAAATATTGCATTTGATTTTAACGTCACTATTTTTACTTTAATGAAAACTGTGATATTCATAAATGTAAGCAACACTTAACAGCGAAATATAGACCTCATGGTGGAATACTTCCAAAAATGGAAGATTAAAATTAATAATGACAAAACCAAGGCTATATTTATAACTTGAAAAAGAAGACAGCATCCTCCAAGAGTGAGCGTTTGTGACACGGATAGAACGCAATAGCTGCTCTAAGATTCTACATTTATTAAAGCCGCTGATTAATAATTATCACTTCAACTTTAAAAACAGAAAGTTTCTCTATACGCAAGTCATTAGACCAGCACTACTGTACGCATGTGTTACATATAGCAAAGCCTTAAATACTACCTTAAAGCAATTACAGATAGCTCAAAACCTGGCTTTAAGAAGACTGTTTTAGATTCTATAGTATATTAGATCAACAGACATACATAGAGATCTTAGGATTGACTCAGTGAAAAAATATATCAGAGACAGAGCTCTAAAATTATTCACTAAAATTATTCAGTTGATACGCTACTTAATCCCGCACTAACAATCCTCCAGTTCACTTCTGAATTTTCAGAAAGATACGCTGATTTAAGGTCTGTCATCAACTAAAAGACAAATAAATGATATGATTTCTTAGCCTAGTTAAAGCCTAGTGTGGGGTAGTGATAAGCCCCCCAGACATTATAGAGTAAAAGTGCGTAATAGCACTAACTCAAGAACAAGAAGAAGAAGAAATTTGATTTTATTGTCAATATGACAGTAGTGACTATTTTTACTTGAATGGAAACTATGATATTTAATAAAGAGGTTTTGAAAAGCAATGACCTACAACAACAAAAATTCTTTTTACGTTATTTGAATTAATTGAATTTTTGGTTGATCATACAGCTGTTTCGAGTGTTACCAAATACAATTGTCTAGTAATATTGTCTAGTAATAGACAACTGATTGTCTATTATCAGTGAATTTTTTTGTGGAGAAAAGAAAACTGATAAAACTCTATTTTTGTTTTAACGTAAGTACTATGACAAACTAGACACGATTAAAGAGATAAACTGAAAATTTCAACTTCAAACCACTCAAGTACGGAAAAATAAAAAATATCAAAGACCAGTAATATACCATAAATAACTTATACCTTGATGAAAGGCATAAGTGATACCATGTGGAATAATAGAAGATTTGTCTTAGTAATTAGGGATCTTCCAATATTTGAAAGAATCTCGTATATTTACTCTACTGCGTTGCTAAATTTTGATACTTACACTATTTGTGTATGTGATATCATATCATATCATTTTTTGAAAAGCGTTGGACAATACTGTCAAATTAATTTATATTTTTGCATGAATGCATTTTTTGTTGAAATGCATGATTCTTTTCATATGCAAAACAAAATTACAAATTATGGATTTTGTCAAAAATCAAATCGGATTTGAAATTTATGTTGACAAAATTTCAACGAATCGGAATAATTTGTCATCATTAGGGAGTGCATTGTCATTCTGGCATTCTAGAATACTGAATTGATTTGACACATTTGTTAGATTTTGTGGTAAAATTTGTAAAATTGATATTGGATATTGCGAATATGCACAACTTGGACGAATATGCAGATTAAGGTTCATGCATAAAACTAAATAATAAAAAAATAAAAATGCATTTAATTAGTTGCTTCATTTTATATAGCGAGAGAGTGTGCAAATATAATTAAAATGAGAAATCTGAAACTTAAATTAATGCAGGATACTGCATACATTTGGTTATATGTCATTAGCCAAATTATATATGACAGACTGTCATATAAATTTTTGTATTTTATTAAACTGCATTATGGTTATTTTAGAAAAAAATTTTAAATAATGTAAATTTATACAAGCTGTTAGAAATCGTGCTTCTATTTCTATGCAAGTTGATTTATAACGTTGTTGACATAATGTTCTTAATTATTTCATTCTAATGGCATTTGTTTAATGCCATTAAATTAAACGGAAAACCAAAATTTCATCATCAAATAACATATAAATGAAGTGAACTCATTATTATTGCACAAGTACTTATTAAATTCGTAACTATTTCTGCTGACTTCCGTTTACCATATCCGACCATTCAGCCCAACAATTCAGCTTAACGAGCAAATCGATAAAGAAAAGAAAAATAAAAAAGGACCTAATGTATTATTTAAAAAGAAAATATTTTCCGCAATTTCAGTTAGTTTTACCCAAAGGCAAAACCAAGGCAAGCCAAAAAACGTAATTTTTTATTTTAAAGAATATTTTTTTATATTTGCGTTTCGGTGTGTAAATTTACAATTTAGCTCATTTCAGCGATTTCCAGGACACGAACAGTGGCGCAGAAGCAGTGACAATGTTAGCAAACTTAACTGCAATGCCGCATTTTTTGGGGTCATCAGGAAAAGTACAACAACAACCACAACAGAAGTAACGAACATTTTCCACACACACACATATAGGAGGAAACGTAAAAATGTGATAGGCAAACTGCAGACTGCAAATGCAAGTGCAGCTGCAATTGCCGCACTGAATTATGAAAATCGTTGTAAAATTTTCAACAAAATGTTTTGTTGGTCCTTACAGCCAGCATTGCCAGCCCAGCCACATATGTAAACTTTAATTCGTTTGGTTTATCTCTTCTATACATTTTTTTTTTTTTGTTTTGGTATGTTTGTTGGTTGGTCCTCTGCTATGTTGTTTTGGCGACTTCCTGGCAAATTTCTAATTCCATTCGTGCGACTGCTCTGTATACGAGATTGTTTTATATTTTATGTGCTATATGCACTTGCCAAAAAAAAGGACACCGTAGCTATTTTGATGTGCACTCATTTTTAAGGTTTATTTTTTATTTATTATTTTTTTTATCTTTTTCTCAATTGTCTTTATTTACAAAAAAAAAAAAAAACAAAAAAAAAACAGTTTTCTTTTTTATTTTAAAGCAACTTTGTTTAATTTGTAGTTGAGTGAAAATGCATGAGAGGAAAATAAATGCACATATTTACTAAGTAAACGAACTGCTATTGACTTAACTGCATTTAAATGCACTTTAAGCTTAAATAATTGCAGAATATTTAATTTTTCAAACTTTTTAAATTACTTTTTATTTTGGTTAAATAAGTTTTAAGGAAAGGATTATTAAAGAAACTTGATTTACATACAAATGTCTTTGAAAAGTTTCAGCTGCACTATGCACTCTTAACACTGTAAAATGCTACCAGTATAATTGCTATCATAAGTAAGAAAACTCAACAATCTTTTGAAAGTAGTAACTTAAATACAGGGTGTGAGGCGATTTAAGTGTTACCTACTCGAGCGACCACATCTTTTTTGTGTGAAATTATTTTTTGTTGAATCAAATGACAAATATTTGTGGATATAACAAAATTTTAGAATCTATTCACTCTAGCACGATGTGGCCACCTTTTTGCATCTATCTATAAAGTGCATCTATACTGGCATATTTTTTAATCCTCATCTTGTTCTTCAAAATGACCTAGATAGCATAGTCCATCGGATTTGAATCTGGCGAATTTGAAAGTTATTGCGTGGACAAAGTGAAATGTAAAACATGATTCTTAAACAATTCTTCCATTCCATTTATCACAAATGGTTAAACAACGCATCCATACTGGCATAATTTTTAGTCCTCATCTTCCTCTCCAGATAGAATAGTCCATCATAATTGAATCTGGCTATTTTCAAAGCCATTGCGTAGACAAAATGAAATGGGAAATATGATTCTTTAACAATTCTTGATTCACACAAACTTTATGAGACGGTGCCGAGTTTTATTAGAGCATCCATCAAGCAATTTCTAAAACATTTTTCCGATAATAAATCACATTGACTCTGACACCAAGCTTGATTAAAATGATTGGAGAGCGTTCATCAGCGGTCATAGTTGCTCATACCATTACTTAAGATGAAAAATTACTTCGGGTGGCCATTCGCAGTGCCCTCAAGATCATTTTGAGAGTTGAGGAAACTTCTCGCATCAGAGTAAAAAACTCCTTTGCTCATTTGAGTCTAACTTTTTGTTGCTTTGATGTAAGATCATCTGCCTTTCGAAACTTGTAAGACTTTACCAATACATAAACAAAAGTAAAAACTTTATATATTTTTTTATCTAAATTTTCTAAATTAAAATCTATTTATCCATGATTTTTTTTTTATCTAAAAATTGATGTTTATTTAAAAAATATTTTTTTTGTACAATATTTCATTTGTCTTAAGAAATTTATACTGTTCATTTCACAATTAATACGAAGAGAACAAATTTATATTTATAAGATTAAAATTCATACGAGAATAAATATTTGATAGTACCTATCTATTAAATTTTTGGAAATATGCTTCGTGAACAGTACGTAGATTGTCTGCTTGTTGGATTAGGAACTATGTGGCATTTCTTCGAAACTATATTTTCCCCAGAGAACTGTTCACACTATGTGCCGTTGATATATTCAATCGCCTACGCAATGGGAATTCAAATGATATGTAATCATTTGCTTGGTATTTGGCTTCACAGTTATTGGAGTTCCAACAAAATTTGGAAAACAATTGTTTTTCTAATTAAACTCTGGATCGGCTTTGTTGTATCCGAAGGGACTTTTGCTGTACTTTGTTTATTCTGTACTAACGAACTCTTAATTTACAGTGGACAAACATTTATTTTCATTCCAACAACTAGTATACAAAAATATCCCACAGTCATTGGATCTCTGATAATTTGTGGAGTATTAATATGCGGAATGTATTTCACTGAACCTATTAGAGAAAAAATTAAGAAAAGTTTTAGGAGTTTCTTCAATTTCATAAAGCATCAGCACACTGATCCTGATAAACAAAATGTGGTAGAACCAATTTACATTCGTTCAGTGGATTCTCAACACCGTTTGCGTAATCGTTCCGATTTTCAAACTGATGACCCAAGTCTTTCAGAAATAGATGATTCCGACATAGGTTTGTAAAAAATATGTGCAATTTTTTTATTTTTTATAAAAATTAAATTTTAATTATATTGAATATATAAAATTTTAAGACCAATTGATGAACTTATGAAAGGTAGCGCTGACGTATTTTTACACGGCATAAAACTGAATCTCGCAATCAACATTGACCACGAAATTCTGTTTATTTTGTATTTATCTTGATAGAAATTATATTCAATAAAACAAATCTAAATTCAAACCCATATTTATTTTTGACTTTGAAAAACTTATAAAAATAATAAATATGGTTATAAACAAAACGTTAATAATAAGTGAGGAATTTTTTTTTGTAGAACATATTTTTTTGTTGTAAAACTCATATTAGTTTGCATAAGAAAATATATAAATATCTTTAATTACTATAGAAGTTTGCGGAGCGCCATCTTTTAGTCAATACTAGAACCTACGACGTTGGTGGAGTGCAAGTACCAGACTTAGAACTGTAAATTAGGGTAAATTTTTTTGTCGAATGTGACGCGTTTTATGACGAAACGAAAATTAGAAGGATTCGAACAGTAGTAAAGAAAAAACAACATAAATTTTTAGAACCAAATCTTACAAGTCCAAATAATCAGACCAAGTAAAAACTGATTGTATTAGTGGATGTAAGGAACGATAACTTCTATAAACAATTTTTATATATTTTTTAAATAAAATTTTATTCATCAGATTCCTTCAATAAAGATAGTTTCAGCTGGACAGATAGAAAGCAATTTTCAAGTTTTTCTTTAAACATAATTTTGCTATTATTAAATTTTAGTGTTTTAAAAGTAAACGAAAAATATAAAATAACCTTTTAAAAGAGTCATTATCAAAAGCATTAAAAATAAATTGCACTCAAGTACCTGATAAAAAACTTAACAGCAATTATTATCCTAGATTTTCGTAGTTTACTAAAACATTAACCAAAATATTTTATAAACACGATAACAATCTGTTTTCCGCATCCAACATTAAAGTCCACTCAATGCTACTTCAAACCACATTACCACTAAAACTGTAGCTCTTGCAATGCAATGGGGTGCAAAGCGTTCTAGTCGGAAACAAAACCTGACCTTATTACAGAAACGAATTTTAGATACATTACGTGGATAGATAGATAGTTTTGTTGTTTCAAAAGCATTTACACTGACTCTTGTGTTGCTCAAATGAAATTATAAATTTTTAATGCGAACTCACAAATGAGAGTACTTGCTAAAGTGCAGCATCATGACACTTTCTGCAAACCATTAAAAGCAATTACACCATGGAAATGACCATGGAAATGCGAACTACTACTAACTCACAGATGAAAATGTTTTATTATTTCCATTCGCTGCACATCATTTCACTCGCATTTTCCACTCATAATGGTCACGATTTATTCTATTCAGTATTCACTTAGTCGAATGCGGATGTAAAATAAACTAGGGTACTGAAGGAAGGAATGTAAACAAATTTGGATGAAAATATATGAAAAGGGATATTTTACGCGGCCAAATACTTCCACTGTTTTATTTTGGTTTGGTATCAGTAATAATTTCATTTCTCTAGCAGTACTGGTTTTATATTGGTGATGATGACAGTCGATTAAAAGTAATGAAAGAAGAGGAGTAGGAGGATGGGGGAATGGGAAAATATTTAGTTCTTGACTGGCAAAACTAATGAGTTGGCAAAAAAGTAATGTTCAAGCAGACCGAAAATGGATGGCTTTACTATTAGGTTACTTAGTAACTCATCTTTGACATTATATGGCTGCAGAGAATAGTTGACTTATTTATAAATTAACAATAGGCACGTTTAAATATTCATTAATTTCTTTTTATACGCTCGGAATTTATTTAAGTATGTAAGTATGTTAAACGCAAACAATAGCAGATTTATGTGGCCTCATATGGGTACGCGTTCTTCTGTTGAGTAAATTTAAAGTTCTGTTATTACACAAATGGACAATCATTGTGTGGAACTTCAAACGGAAGGAAACCTTAAACGCTGTCCTTTATACTGTTGACCTAAATGCAAATACCATAAAAGAAAATTGCTTTTGTTAACTTTTGTTACAATCACACTTAAACTTTTTAATAGAGCCTCATTAAAGCAGAATAACGCTGAGAAAGAAAATTCTGAATGAATATGAAAGCAAATGTAAATGGTAAGCAAACGTAGAATGAAAGTAAACGTTAGGGAGACGGTAAGTAAATTTAATACGCTTCAAGGATGTTACCAAACAATGAAAACTCGCTCTAGTACAAATTAAGGCCCATTACATCCAAATATAAGAAGTTTATGAACATAACTTTCAAATAAAATAAACATTTCATTTATGTGAATTGCAAGTCGTGAAATTGAAATACTTTCACAAAATTCTTGTAAAATTAAATTAAAAAATTTTATGCAATAATAAATTCTTAATGAGTATGAAGTGCAGTTGCAAGTATTTTTCTTCCCTTCACTAAATTTTATAGTTAATTTCGTTGTATTGCAATATAGTTAGCGATATTTATATTACAGTGATGTAGTATAATAAAAAAAAGCCAACGAAATCATTTAATTATAATCAATTAAAAATCATTTTTAAAAAATTAAAGAAATAGGATAAAGAGATACTAGATAAGGAACGCAGTGACAGAAATCACCTCCAAAGGCGAAGAGAATTATAGATATAGATAAGACGAAATCACTAGTTTTAATCAATAAAAATTAAAAAAAAAATCAAAAAATATATATTAGGTATTAGAGAGATAGGTTATACACTCAAAAAATAATCTGATTGATTCAACCAGATTTTAACTAAATATCAAGTCAAAATATTCTTACTCGACGCTTCATGTTGGTTCAACCATACTACAACTACATGTATATGATTAGAGCATATTTTTCTGAGTGTACCGATCGCAGAAAAAGATAATCCAATCAACATACTAGATAAGGTACGTAGGGTAAAAAATCACCTTTTAAGGCGAGAAGACCAACAGAGGTAGGTAAAAGATATCACTTGATTATTATCCCATTAACAATAAGAAGTAATTAAAAACAATATCACAGAAATTAGGAGATAAGTTATAAAAAGAATGTGACAAACTATTTTTTGATTAGTTGAAGAATTTCTTCGACATCACAATTCTAAAACAAAACTCAGAGAAAAAATTTTAGTATCTTATCACAAGAACAAGCATTGACAAACGCATGTAGACTAGGGGACCTATTCTGTGCACTGTATAAACTTGTCAAACATTGACACTTGTCAAAATTGACTGCTGTCACGGTTTTGGTATTCTGTGACATAAATAAAAAGCTATTTTCCTTGTTAATTGTCAATACTACATATGCTGTTGACAACTATTAAAATATGCTCTTTTTAAGCATTTTTTATTTTTTGCATGCATGACAAATATTCTTAACTAAAATATACGCTCTTTACAAGCATATTTTTTATTGTTAATTGAATGCATGAAAAATGCTTTTGGCAACTTAAAATATGTGCTCTTTACAAGCATTTTTTACGAACAGTTACGAACAATTACGAATAGTTTTCTATACAAAACACTTTACACCATAGTGTGATGAGAAGCACTAGGTACTTGAGCTTTGAAATTTGTCAAGATGTGTCCAGAATACCAAAACGCTTTCTGCTTTATAAAAATCAAAAATTTTATTAAAGAATTTGACAATTCTGTCAAGTGCACAGAAGAACACAGAAATTTAAATACTTGAAAAACCATATTTCATATTAAAAAATATAACTCAGTTATTTTTGTAGTCCAAAATAAATCAAAACAGTAATAATGGAAATGCATCTAATTTAGATCGCAACGAAAAGATAGTGTCAACAGGAACCACGTTTGGATAAGAATAACCTTGCTGGAAACGATAGGTACCATAATAAAAATAGTACTTTTCTTTCAGTGAATTCGATCCGAAGTTATATCGAACAGTTGAGCATTTGGCATAGTTAGGGTTCTGAAATTTAAACATATCTTCTTGATTTGACATAGAAATTACTTTATGAACAATACCTAATTATGGACAACGAGAAAGGAGTAAAAAAGTTTTCCTGATATTTTACAAAATTTTACTAACTCATTCGTTCGTTTATTATTAGCTGTGAGCGAAAATCTAAATTAGAATCAAGTTTGTTCTACAATGAAGAAAATGTATGTATCATTTATAATTCAATACTATATAACTCAAACAATATATAAGTCGCTCAAATGGCTACAATTGACGCTTAATTAATCATAAAAATGTTGGTTTACTAATAAACACAGTCACAAATTGCAATTAAAAACTTCAACAAACTACTCGCCTTGCAATTTAATTCTTTATTTATTTGTTTATTTGATTTGTTTATTTGGCACTTTTAGGCGCAAGCACTCACTCATTATATATTCATTCGATTGTTTACTATTTATAAGTGTATATCATACATAACACAAACAGTAACTTGTGGTTGGCATAGTAGATAGAATAATAGCAAGGATAAAAGCATACATATTACATACACAGCTACTGTTGTATTTCACTGTAGAGTACAAAAAAAAATATCTAACTATTTGATTCACAATGTAAATGTTTTTGCATTAATGATTGTTCCGAAGTTAATTAAAAGCCATTCGATTTAAATAATTAAACTGACAATTTGTGGATGAATTTATAGATATATATATATATATAAATTGGATTTTTCAAATATATATATTCGTCAATATAGTGAATGCTTTAACCAAAAATATTATGGTGGAATGATAGAATTTTGAAAACCAAAATTTGTGGGGTTAGATAGGAGTAGATGAAATAGATAGTAAAATTTGTTGTTCTTGCTCTGTATGAAAATCTGACTGTATATAAATTGATTCTGACTCCTGAATCTGACCCTATATAAATTAAAGTAAAGGTCATTATTCAATTTTTTACAAAAGTAATATTAACAGTACCAACGATAGAAAATATGGAATGGGTATGTAAAGAAGGAATTTTATTTTATTTTCCTTTAATTTATGGTAATTTTATAATAAAATTTGTTTAACTTAAACTTACCTCAACTGATATAGTAAAAGAAGGTGCATGCACTGGACCTGTTTGAGATTCTAATTTATATACCAAACCATGACGCAATTCATTCAGCATTGCAACCGTATTCTTTGGTTGAGGAATACGTTCTTTACCAGTTCGAGGTTTCTTCTTTGGAAGCGCTATAAAAAATAAAATTATTTAACATAAATATACTAAAAATGTGCTAGATCTGTGAGTCTTACTTAATGATAAGAAATCAAAAATACTATAGAAAATTTTTAAAATACAATACGTAATTAAATTATTAATAACTAAATTAAATTATTAATAATAAGGATATGAAGGTGTAAAACTATAAATATCTTTCTTCTAACTTTTATTTATTAAAACAAATTTAGTCTTATATTACTCACCTCCTTTTAAGCTTTTTCTTTAAATATTAATATATTTATTTATAGTTTATATTTAATATATTTAAATTTTTTCACTTACATGAAAACTTAGATCCTTCATAGCGACGCTTTGATGGAGTTTTACGGCTATAACCATTCATATTGTCCTCGTCTGGTGAAACCGAAGGCTGTTTGTTTTTGATTGCAGAAAAAAAAGAAAAAATGATTTTTTAATTTTTTATATGATTATATGCTATAATTTGCATTAATTTAACAAATTGACACATTTATTAAAAACATTTATTGAAAACATTTATTAATAATTACACCAAATTTACACAAACAGGCAAACATACATTTAAACATAAAAAAGACACTTGTAATGCATACGTCAATGATAAATTAATAATTTGTATAGTTTGAAGTTCTGTTTTTTTTTCTTTCTGGTTTTTTTAATTAATTAAATTAATATTTTTTATTTTCATATTGTTAAATAAATTAACAAAATAATATGAGTGACAGATTTATTATCCAATAATTTTTAATATACCAATTATAGAGATTTTATGTTAGTCAATTTTTTTTTGTTGTAGATATAAATTACACACAACATTGTTATATATTACATTTTAAAGAAATATTTTTAAAATAATTTTTTTTTTTTTATTTACATTAACTATGAACAATTCTAGAACATTTAAGCATGCATTACTAGAAGGAAGACAGAGAGAACACATATTTATAGTGACTAAAATAAATTATAATTTATTGTGCTTCACAATAATGGTAAATGGAACTTTCAGGTTGGTTTAATAGATTGATCAAAATTTGTGAATATCTGCATTATTCAGGAAAGCGCCAAAACATCGTTTTATCATTTGAAAAAAAAAATCACTCACTAAAACATTAACCTTACATATACCAGGCTTTATTTTAAACCCTGTGGTGTTTAAAAATATAATAAAAAAAATTAAAGTACAGTATATTAAAACTTAATACATAAACAATACATTAAAAAAACTATTTTTAAATTGAAAAACTATAATTATTAAATATCAGCCATAAAAAAAGGGGTTATCTTTTAAACAAATGTTAACACTTTATCAAAGCAAATTTTATTAGCATAACATAAAAGCCAAAATCATATATGGTTTAACCACTTAAATTATTTTTTTATAAAAATATACTTTTGATATATAAATATATTAAAAGCCTGCAATCTAGACAATAAACTTTAATTTATAATATCGGGAACCGAAGGCCATGGCAGCTAGCGCTCGTTTTTTCTATCTTAGTTAAAAGATTTTGAGTTTTGTAGTACTGGAGAATTTTAAGCAGATTTCATTGGCAAATACGATATAAAATAGTTTAAAAATCAAAAATACAAACGCTAATGCAGCTGTTATCTGGCATAACATGTATCAAAACAATAGTTTGAATAATTAATTTATTTGTTTAGTACATATAGAAACAACATTACAAAGTAATTGAGAATTGAGAAACGGATTTCACTGTCAAATATAGTATATATATAATATAGTTTAAAATAGTTTAAAAATATAGTTTAAAATATAATATAGTTTAAAAATTCAAAAATGCTAAGGCTAATGCAACGGTGTTTCATCTTGTATACAATATATCAAAATCATATGTCCACTATCTATATTTGTTTCAATACATATAGAAACAACATCCCAAAGTAGATGAAGATAATAAGCGGATATGTTTGATAAATATAATATAAATCACTGTAAAAAAAAATACCCAAAGGTAATGCAATTGTATCATCTTGCATTAAATATACTGAAATCATTCTTCGAATAATGGATTTATTTATTATATATACAGTAAAAAAAGTACAAAGTTACATGAGCACATAATAAGCCGATTTGATAATTAAATATAATATAAAAGAATGCAAAAATTTGATTATTAAGAATTATTTTAATGTACTCATTGTTATGTATATTTAAGAGTAAAAATCAGTTAAAGAATATTTAGACATGATTGGAATTATTGGACTTCTACTGACATATCAGTAACGCAAGTTATGTCTACTACTCTTTATATGACTAAACTTAAAAATGACCAAAGTAAATAGAAATGTTAAAAGACCAAAAATAGAAAGATAAAAATAGATAGATGAAAAATAGATAGATAAAAAATAGATAGATAAAAAATAGATAGATGAAAAATAGATAAAAAGTAAATAGATAAAAAATAGATAGATAATGGATAGATGAAGAATAGATAGATAAAAAATAGATAGATGAAGAATAGGTAGATAAAAAGTAGCTAGATAAAAAATAGAACGATTAAAAATAGAAGGATTAAAAATAGAAGGATTAAAAATAGAAGAATATAAAACAGTTTAATAGATAGATGAAGAATAGATAGATAAAAAGTAGATAGATAAAAAAGATGAGGATAAAAAATAGAAGGATCAAAAATAGAAGAATAAAAAATAGATAGACAAAAAATAGATAGGTAAATAAATAGATAAAAAATAGATAATAAATAGAAAGATAAAAAAAGAAACTATTTTTTTACTATAAGTTAAATTAGAAAATATTAATTTTTTTATTTATGCGAAAGTTTTTAGCACTTCAGAAAAAAAATTCATAACTTAAACATTATGTAAATTTTTAGCGAAATTTATAACTAAAAAGAATAAATATTTTTAAAGAACATAGAAACAATGTAAGTATAAAAAAGCCATAGATTTACGTAATCAGCAAAAACAACAATGTTTCCTTTTTTATTTATTATTTTTACAACTTTTTGCTGGCCATAGAAATATCTGCAGTCTCATTTGTTTTACATTTACTTCAGCAAATATGCCAGTAGAGGAGAAAAGAAAAGAAATTATAATAATAATAATAATAATAATGAAAAAAATATGTACTGGTGCCAACGTACAATAATAAAACAAATGCATAATTTGGCATGGTTTCAAAAACGTTTCAAGTATTGTTGGCCGTTGAACGTTAACAAATGAGATGCCTACTTCAAACTCAGCTAACAAATTGAAAACTTATACGAAATGATGTTTGATGTTTAGCGAACTGAAACTACAAGAACATATCAAACAAAAAAAAACAAAGGAGAAAAAAATTAGATTTATTAAAATTCTTTGTCTCAATAAACGGAAGACACTGCAAAAATATTGCAGATTGCATAAATTTTACAAAAATATTCTATAGAGAGAAAACAAAACAATACATAGTACTATAGTACTATAAACAATCATTTTAATAAACTTCAACATTATCACTAAAAGTATCTAGTAGTAGATACTTTTAATATCCTCGGTGAGTTGTGGAGTACCGCAGCAGAAACTGTTTAAATTTTTGCACTTCTAAAACAATACTAAAATGCACATTTCAATGGCCATAAAATATACTTTACGAGCTGTGCTAAGACAGTGCTGTTCGGTTTTATGGCTTGCACGGCCAATGCACGGCATGTAAACTTTGAGGTAGGCTAAGTCATCAACTCGTCATAATAAAATACTTAAGTGGCCATAAAATATTTTCATAAAAACCTAAATAGATAATAGATTGAAGTCGTATGTACAAGTACTAAATGCTGTTTTATACTCGTAAATACGAGGCACATATTTACATAATTTACAGTATATATTCAGCAATTAACATAAATTTTGCTGACACACGAAAACAAAATTTAAGACAAAACAATCTTGCGGAATAGAAAAGTGGAAATAAATTTGGAAGATTTTTAAAATTTAAAGGAAAGCCCTTATAACTAACAGATTTCTTTAAAGTCGAACCAAAAACAAATGTTTAAGTATTGAAGTCAACAGAGACATTATTATGTTGAAGCTAGTTGAGCCAGTGCACTTGAACACTTTTACTCTCTATTAACTGCGAGGTATCTTCACAACCCCTCTCTCTTTACGCCTTGACTGGATTATTGTTTACCATTTTATCAGATCTGAGCTCAACAATAATTGAGCTCAGATCTGCATACATCCACGAGAAGCCTGTAAACATTCTGAGATTCAATAACGCGGTGTTGGTAAGACTGTCTCAAAATTGAATGGTTGATTCGTTAATTGATGGCAGTGGTAAATCAGTAGATATTAATTTTACTAACAAATTTCTAGCAAGAAACCTAAAAAGGTAAAAACTTATTTTCATCCATTGAATCTTCTATGAAATCTTTCGTTCTTATCGACGAATAGTCTGACAAACTCTTAAAGAAATACTTCCCCCTAAAATAAGTATTTCAGAGCTCAAGAAATACCATATTAAATTAATTTAATATATTAGAAGATGAAGCCCTAAAAATATTTGCGAAAACTGACAGACTTACCAACACCGCGTCATCAAATCTCAAAATGGTTACAGGCTCCTCGGGGAGGTATACAGATCTGAGGTTAATTATTGCTTAGTCTGATGAAGTGATAAACAATAATCTAGTCAAGGTGTAAAGTAGGGTTTTGAAAAGCGCAAAACAGCTTCAACATAAGATATAAGAACTTTTTGATATAATTTTAAAATTGTACTAACTTTCAAATTTGATTAATAATAAAATTTTATTATTTTTTTTTTTTTAAAAATTTTTTTGTTTTGTATATTTTTTCACTACATATTAATATGATAGTACCACCTACTGTTTCATTACAAAGTTGTTAGTTTTCGTTTGATTTAACTGCTGGCAGCAATATCCTAACATTGTATGTGCAAAACTTTAATTATAAAAATGTCTGTTTCAATAACAAACACAACAAATCATGAACCGCAAAAATTGCTGAGAAAAAAATAAAATTGCAGTGAGAGAGAAAAAAAAAACTCAATAACAACAAAAAATTAAAACAAAAAGTTGCAAAAAAAAAATTGAAAACAAAAAACAAACAAAATTGAAAACAAAACAACCTCAACAATTGAAAAACTTTAATATTGTTGGAAAATTAATGTTTTTTATGTTCCTCTTGCCCCTGTTAGTAAATATACAACAAATGGTTTCACACTTGAAAAAGTTTTTTTTAAATTGGAGAAAAAAAAATATTGTTGCAATTGCGTACAACTTTTTGAATTAAACGAAAAGTTGAAAAATATAAACTTTCAATTTTTTCCATACTACCACCCTTCCCGTACCCTACTCTGCCCTAAATGAGAAGAATTCAAAATAAATAAATTTTTGTTGCATATGCGCAAGTGTTATA